CTAGGCACACATTTGATCGCCGGGCGTGGTCAGCTGTGGACGCTCTGAGGCAGCAGGGCCACCACCCCTTCCATCCTTGCGTCAATACTCCTAGCGCATCCCCTTTTTATTTTTTATTTTTTTTTATTTTTTTTGAACAAGCTCCATCTATTGGTGGGGAGCAGCATCTGCTGGAAACCGGGTCCAGCGTCCCATAGATACAACCATATCCTCACTAATTGGCACGAGCTGGGAACCGGGCCCAGCGTCCCATAACGAGTACGTTCAGAAAACTTCAGAAAACTTCATCAGACAATTTCTAGCGCATCCCCTATCCCTACTAAATCGGAAGTTCTCATGGGGAGGTTTATTCCTGAGTAGGTGGTATTCCACTGGCGCCAATCATGGACCACGCCCCCCCGCCAGGTGCAGCCTCATGACTCCCACCTATTCTGATATCAGAGGGGACACCTTCCTGGTACTATTCCAGCTCAACCAGTTAGTGGGTACCCTGATGCGCAAAGGCAGGGCTGCCTCCCAACCCTACCTCACTTCAATTCTCCTAACGCACCCCCTGCACCAACTATCCTACCTCAGTGATACAAGCGGACTAACCCTTGGGTGGTGCGCAGGCAGTGTCTCCTAACGCACCCCCTGCACCTACTATCCTACCTCAGTGATACAAGCGGACTAACCCTTGGGTGGTGCGCAGGCAGTGTCTGTAATAGCTTACCTGCGTCAGCCCGAGGGGTTGTGTGTCCAACCGTGCGTCAAACCAATGCCCTGCCGGTGTCCACGGGTGAGGCTGCAATTGAGTTTTGAACCCGCAACTTCATACCACAATGCGCATTTCCAACCGGTGCTCTAACCACTGAGTTACATCAACTGGACACGCCAGCAAAATATTTCAATTTTAACTAAAAGGCACTTCCTTAGCGTAACCCCTGCTTCTCCATCTACCGGGGGCACTATCACCCCAGCTCGGATATGCCCGGGAGCCTCTCCCCGAGTGCTAGTGGTACCTGCTTTTACCAGTTCACAAAAAAAAAAAAAAAAAAAAAAAAAAGGGTACCAGCGCTGGGCCAGGACAACCCCCTCCCAGCCCCAGTTGAAGCACTACCGGATGAACCACGTTTAACAGGTACTTCGGTCGCCAAGCATGATCATTATGTAGTATGTAGCACCAACCCAGGTTAGTCCAGAACCGAACACTTCCACCGGGTTATATCCTACGTAGTGTCTACAGTCCCCACCCTTACCAAGGCCTTACCTAAGCCAGCCGTAGACCAACCCGGTGCCTTTTATTCCTAGCATAGTCGATTTTCCCCGTATCGGACTTACGTTATACTTCCTGTGAATACCAACCCAGGCTAGTCCGGAACCAAATGTTTCCACGGGGCTGCCCTAGGCAGTGTCTTGTCGGTCCTTCCCTGACCAGGGTCTTACCTAAGCCAACTCTAGACCAACCTAGGTAGTCTATTATCACCGTATTCGGGTCATGTATTATGGGTAATACCCAGCCCGGAACCGAATGTTTCCACGAAGCTACCCTAGGTAGTGTCTGCTGATCCTTTCCTGATCCGGGTCTTACCTAAGCCAACTCAAGACCAACCTGGGTACCTATTGGAATTATGTTATACATCTTATGGGTATTGCTAATTGCTAATGCATTTATGCTCACCAGTCTCCCACCCCCCATTCTTGCTGGACAAGTACGAGGATTCCTCCCCCCCCCCCAAAGGCCATCTACTCTTCTCTCCAGACCCCCTATCAGTTCCAACAAATCCCCCTTCCCATAGGAAGGGTTACTGCGACTTCACCCCGAACTACCTTCCCTTGAACATCGGTGGCAGGCACAAGCACCATGCTAAGTTGCTAACACATGTATCCCCAGCAGACGTGATATGAGACGCAGTCCTCCAGCTAGACCTTGAACCCACAACCTCTCGCAGGATATATCAATGCTGTAACCAACCCACCTACCATGCTTGCTGTCCCAGGTACTACCACAGCTATGTTAGGCTGGGGGACTACTCAGTGGGTGTCAATCTAACACCATGCCACAGGACATCGGAATCGAGCCCAAAACCCGTCCCTTGAGAGGCCGGTGCTCTAAGCAACTGAGCTACCACGTGCTGCTCCCCACGAATAGATTGGGGCATTGTTGTCAATAAACAAATAAATAAACAATTCTCCTTTTGGAGTCTTTGGACCAGAAAATAATTACAGAAAAGAAGAGATGCAAAGTCCAGAAGGTAAAAAAGATGAAGTTTTCAAAGGAATAAAATGTTAGAGAAGTTTTAATTCTTGTCTTCCCATCCTCCTCCTCCTCCTCCGGCTGCTGCTGCTGCTGCTGTACATGTCATTGTCATCGTAGGGCACGCTGTCTTGTTCCCTTTGAAGTTTGGAGCCTTTCCTTTTGGATTTTTTTTCGGAGACGCATGCGGGACAGGGGAAGGGGGAAACATAAAGTGTTGCCGTTTGTTGTGCCTAAGGTCATTCTGCTGAGAGGGGAGCAAGTCGGCCAGAAGCAATGGTGAAGAGCGCTGTGAAAGTGTTTGTTCGGTTTCGTCCGAGCGGAATTCCGCCAGATGGTGTCGAGGTGCTTCCCGACGGGAAGTCTGTGATCGTTGAGGTAAGGAAGAAGGAATCGTCAGGTGTCGTCAACAACAATCGCGAACGGCTTTCTTTCAAATTTGACGGGATCATCCAAAACACCAGCCAAGAGGCAGTGTTTACAGAATGTGCAGAGGACGTAGTCTCCCGAGTGCTCAATGGCTACAATGGCACGATTTTTGCCTATGGCCAGACGGGGTCGGGTAAGACATATACAATGGTGGGTGAAAATATGATCTTCCATCTGCGAGGCATCATCCCCCGCTCCCTCCACTACGTATTCCGAGAGATAGATTTGAGAACTGATCGAGAGGTTATTGTGAGAGTGTCGTATTTGGAGATCTATGGGGAGGTGCTTTGTGACCTGCTGTCGGACGACCCGGCATCGGGAGAGAACCTGGCGATAGTGGAACAAGCAGGCGTGACAAAGGTGAAAGGGCTGACGAAAAGAATAGCAAGGAGCGAGGAAGAGGCACTGACCTATTTCTTCGAGGGCGAGGCGAATCGATCTGTTGGACCACACATACTAAACGAAACGTCAAGCCGATCGCACTGCATCTTCACCATTCACTTGGAGTGCAAACTGAATGATCATCCCAGCGAAAAGGTAACGGTGTCGAAGTTGAACTTGGTGGACTTGGCGGGATCGGAGAGGGTGAAGAAGACGATGACGTCTGGCGACATGCTGAAAGAGGCGATGACAATCAACAAGTCCCTGACTTTCCTGGAGCAGGCTGTGAATGCACTGTCCAAAGGGCACAGCCACGTGTCGTTCCGGCAGACGAAGCTGACCGCAGTGTTGAAGGATGCCCTGGGCGGCAACTGCCGAACAGTGATGATCGCGTGTGCATGGACGGAGACTCCCTATCTGGAGGAGACGATGACCACTCTCAAGTTTGCACAAAGAGTCAGGGCCTTAACGACGTACGCTGTGGTCAACGAGAAGTCGGACCCTGCGACGATGATCAGGCGCTACGAGAGGCAGATTGCGGATCTCAAACAGGAGCTAGCGATGCGAGACACATTGACCGGCCGAGGTCGCATCCCCTATGATGATCCAACGGATGTGGAGCGGCATGAGTTGGGGAACAAGATCCGTGCGTATCTGAATGGCGAGGCGAACGTGGACATCGTTCCAATTGAGACTCTGAAGCAGATCAAGGAGTGTTTTCGGCAATTCCGTGAAGCACACGTGTTGCTCTTGGCAGACTTGAAGAAGGAGGTGGCAGAGAGGAGGGCGTCCGTGACAGAAACCGAAGGATTGAGTGGATCGCCAACAGAGGGGGGGCAAGCGGCCGGTGAGGAGAGCGGCGGGGAAAGTCTCGTGGGGGAGGTGGACCCGGATCCCAAGCTAGGAATCGATGTAGGACAAGCCCCTGCCAATGCCAGGCCTTCGCAACCGGATGGATCGGCCGACCCCCTTCATCCCTCCTCTGGCGACGACAACCAGACATCCGCTGCAGAGAACAAGGACGACCGGGACTCGGCGGCATGGGAAACTGAAACCGCCCGAAAAAATGTGTTTCTTACACAGTACAAGAAACATGTACCCGATGGCAAGACACTCGACGAGACCCTGAAGAACTGCTTGGTGAAGCTGAGGGAGAAGCGCCATGCTATCAAGGAAATCATAAACTCTGTCAATCAGTCGAAGCGGAGCATAGATGAGCTAAGGGAGAGCCTCGATGCCAAGAGGGAGGAGAGGCTCAACAACCGCACACCACGGACCGTGGAGGCAGAGATGATCGATGAAGAGGAGTTTGAGATGGCCAAGAAACTGAAGGCGCTGAAAGTGTCCTATCGACAGGGATTCAATGTAATCAAGACGCTACGCGCCGAGCTGCAGACCCTTGCAGAAGAAGCCGCTGAGTGCCGAAATAACCTCGTTGTGGGGTTCAACACATGGTATGAGGCTCAGCGGTCGGCAGTAAAAAGCGAGCAGCCTGGGCAAGAAGACGCTTCTTCACCTGAAGACAACATCCATGGGGACCCGAGTTCAAATCTCCTGCCAGAACAGCTTGTGCTCCAAAGGATGAATCATGACGATCCAGAGATGGCAGTTTTCGAAGCCGCGAAGAAGCTGATGAGCAGGAATATGCGACGGGGCGGTCTATCATCATCCTATCAGAACGAGAAGATGCGGTTTGGGGCACGGACAAGATACCACTGACTCCCTTGTGTCCCCTCATCTTCTGATTGTAATCATCGACATCATCATCCCATCAGAGCGAGAAGATGCGGTTTGGGGCGTGGACAAGATACTACTGACTCCCCTGTGTCCCCTCGTCTTCTGATTGTAATGATCGACACAAGTTCCGTTTCCATCGCCTGTTCTTCCTTTTTCTTTTCTGCCAAAATTGTTGGACCATTTCTCAATTTATGCGTGTCATCCTTGCACAAGGGCCCTGCTAGTCTTCTCTCCCGGTTTCGTTCAAATTTTAACGGACTTCCCGAAGGACTTATTTTGGCTTTTATGACTTTTTAATGAATTTGGTCTACTTCTCAATTCATGTGTGCCCTCCTTGAAATGCAGGCGCCATGCCTCCCGCTGATCTTCTCTCCATCGTTCCAATTTTAATGGATGTACACCGAAGGACGTCAATCGGATGGTATTATAGCATACCGAAAATGAATGGCCTTCTCTGATGCCGGCGAAGGGATCAGACGAGCAACTCCTCATCGTAAGGAGGCACATGCAGCTGCAGCTTCAACACTGCTGATCAATGACCAAGCTGGTCATCGTCAGCGCACAACAGCAGATGGGCCACGGTGGGACTGTTATCATGCTGTGTGTGTGTTTTTAATTTCCACCAGCAGAGCCCCTATTCCACCCAGATGAGTAGATTTGAGTTGAGCCAGCCGAACAGTTAAACAATTTCACCTCTTTAGCAAGCAACATGAATCATAAATTCATAATAGAAGTTATAGAACCATTGAGAACTGGGCTCGGCTGGGGTTTCTTTGGGGCAACAGCTCCTCTTTTACTAGGCCTCGCTTGTACAAGGCTGCCCACATTGATTGTGGTTGAGTGGCCGCTTCCCGCATCCCCGTGTGCCTTAATGGCTCACTTGCATGTTATATGCTCTTGTGCATTTCACTTGAGATCTTCATACTCCTGTTCATTTCACTTGAGATCTTCATACTCCTGGTCATTTCACTTCAGATCTTCAGCTTATACTTTGTGTGTGTGTGTGTGTGTGTGTGTGTGTGTGTGTGTGTGTGTGTGTGTGTGTGTGTGTGTGTGCTAAGAAACATCGCGGTCGGGCGTGGGAAAGGTGCTGATAAGAGAAGACACCCCCTCTACACCCGCTGTTTGCGAATGGCTTTGGTGGGGAGCTGCACCTGCTGGAAACCGGGTCCAGCGTCCCTTAACATTCAGGACAGGGAGCCATTGTTAACTATGTTACGTTGGCTGTTTTTTGCGGGACCCCAATCATGCAGAACAATGCAGAGATCCCTGTCACTAGCCCTAGATGAACTTGTTGTCACAGAGCCATGCACTTCACAATCCCAAATTTTTCTGGACTCTAATCAAGCACGACAATGCATAGACCCCTCTCGTGAGGCCCCAAATGAGCTTGTTGTTGCAGTGCCCTTTGTACCCTGGCCAGAATTCCCATGTCACAGCCCACAGCTACCAATCTCTTTCAGTCCTGGCCTGTTGTTCCCTTAGCCCACACCAATCCAGCAGCAGGAGACTTCGCTTAACGGAATGCTGAGGTCTGTTACATCATGCCCCAACTGTTCCACCGGTGGGGAGGTACTTGTACAGACATCCTGGCCAGGCCATAGACGCTGGAGATGTCACTGTTACAGCAGGGCAATATCCTTTTAGCCGAAACACCTGCCCGGGTCACCCGGATTCGTGTAGTTGTAAAGTCATAAAGGTTGTCAATTATGTGCTGGTAGTCACATCTTGCAGTCCTTCTACCACGTGGCTGATGATGACGTGTCGTCGTCGTCGTCTGTGGACGGCTCATTAGGGTATGTGTGTGTGTTGTATAAGTACCCCAAATTCTCTCTCTCTCTCATTTCCTCCACAAATCAGACGAAACATCCATCCATAACAAAAGGTATAGATATTAGATAGCTAATAATATTATGTAATAGAAAATGCAAGGTTGGTCACGTTTGTGTGGTTCAGCGCCAAGTGTGTGTGTGTGTGTGTGTGTGTGTGTGTGTGTGTGTGTGTGTGTGTGTGTGTGTGTGTGTGTGTGTGTGTGNGAGAGAGAGAGAGAGAGAGAGAGAGAGAGAGAGAGAGAGAGAGAGAGAGAGAGAGAGAGAGAGAGAGAGAGAGTGTTCTCTTTTTCCAGAGTCATAGTGGGACTGTTATCATGCTGTGGAAGTGGAATTCTGTGTGACTGGGGCTTGGCCTAGGAGTGTGCTGTAATTTGGGGAAGTTTGATGGTTACAGGCTCACAGCCACACATGGGGCTTTTTATTTTATTTATTTACTTACGTTAACCCCGAGGGGGGGCCTGCTAGAGAAGCCAGACATGGTGCTGCGTTGAGCTTGATTGCTTATTCTGGGGTCGTCTTTGCATGGGACAAGGGAACAAATAGCCCACTTCTGTTTCTTTTTTTTTTTCTTTTTTTTTTTTTATGAAGGGCGACAGGCTTGAGATATCATCATTGGACTGTCCCGCCCCAGGTAGTTCATAATTATTCAATTATTCAATTATTCAATTATTCAATTATTCAATTATTCAATTATTCAATTATTTCTTTCTGGTCATCTCATCTTTTCTTTTCTTTTTTTTTTCCTTTTTTTTTTAAACGAACGGGCCCAGTGCCCAAGGCTTATATTTCCATTAACATATCGAGGCCGGGGTCCTCACAGTCTACCCGCAAGAATTCTGGGAGCATTACCCAGTTTCGCTTACAGGGTGGGACCACACCCTGCGAGGCATACCATGCCTCCTGACATCCAAATCGCTCTTTGTGTCCTGATTACCCAGACCTACACGGTTGTCTGAGCGTTGTGACTGACCGCCCCTAACACGGGGCAGTGGAGCAGTGCTCCAGGTGCTGTTGCTGACGCTCACTCGTACCACGCTTCCTACCAACTGCTGCCCTCCTACTGCAGAGAACCAACCGAGCGCCCAGGTAAGTTACTCATCCTTAAACAGCCACTCATCCAACGAAAGTCTACCATCCTGACTCTTGGCCAGCTGACCTCTTAAACACCATGTATCCGTGAACCAACGGCGGAGGCCTGCCGACCTTTGCTTCGGCGAGGAGACTTTCCTTCTCCAATCACATTTTATGCTCCGACAGATATGGAGCTTCACCATGGATTTGATTGTTTTGTCTGACAAAAACGGGCCTTCGAAGACATTCTTATTTCTGACTTCCCAAACCACCAGAAACAAACATGCCCTGAGGGCCTGGGCTACATAGCCCCATCCTTTATCCAGAGCAACACCTTCTGGGACGCCGCCGAATAATATCCAGTGGTCATCCCAGGGAAATGCTGGGCCGCTGATGCGGTCCCAGTGGGATTTCCACCAATCCCAAATTCTTCGAGACAGCAGGCATGACAACCACAGGTGTACCGTAGATTCAAAAGGCCACCGACATCTTGCGCACCGGATCTCTACTTCCATTCCCCTACCGACCAGCCAGACTGCCGAAGGGGTCGAGAGTAGTGAAAGTAGCCAGAGTAGAGCCGTGGCTCTGATCAGAGGCATTTTCTTTAGTTGTGTCCAGCATCTTGTGATATCTCTGCTGATCTGTGTGTCCGCTGTGGAGTCGACTTGTGACCACCTGCTTATGGCCACTGAGAGGGGGGTTCTTGCTGGAAGCTGAACGTCGTATCCACCTGCTGTGGTGAAGTCTGTGAGCCAAGCGTCCTTGGGGAACTTCCTGGATCCCTGCCAGGACCACAACTTGGGATCCAGTCGCAGATTATGGATTGGAATCCCGTTTGCCCAGAGCTTGCATGTCCATTCCCCGTCTTCGTTGCAGATGTCCCGAATTCTGATTTGAGTTAAATTGCCCAGTGGCCTGTTATAGGATGGGAAAGAGCTCCCTTCCTCGCACAGGAGAGCCTCTGATCCTGGGACTCTATCCCAGCGTTGAAACGTTCTGGTACCTTCCGAATCCGTCGAGAGGAGTTTCCACACTGTGTCTGTTTGATCTTCTTGTGTCCCTGGTGATTGCGTAATGAACCAAGTTCCCGGAGGGGGAACTCCTGCTGGGCTCAGCAGGTGTTCCCACTCCGGGGGGATGGCGGCCAGTACTGCGGCCGCCCTGGCTTCCACTTGTCCCAACCTTCCCAATTTCCGTTTCAACTCTTGCATCGGTAACCATTGGCCCGTCAGCTCGTCCCACAGGTCTGCTACTCTCAGGATTCCTTTTTCTACCCATTGTTTCCCAAATGCGGCCGGTTCACTTCCTGCTGAGAATGGTTTGCCGTCCTTTCCCCGAATATGAGGGTTGTCGAACAGTGGTTGTACGAGCACTTTGTCCCTGGATGTGGGGTGGACCCATACCCGGGGCCCTACCTTTCTCCAGGCATTTAGGACATCCTGCCAGAACGGGGACGAAGTTTTTCTGCGAAGGTACGAGTCCATCATACAGCAAGTCCACACATCCCTGACTCGAGGCAGGTTCAAGTCGTGTGCGAGGATCTGTTCCGCGAGGAGAATCCAGTGGTCCTCCGATTGGCTCGACACCGCCTTGATTACCCATTTGACCAGAAGTGCTGCATTTTGCCTAGCCGGGTCTAGCAATCCCAGGCCGCCTTCTTCTCTGGAGCAGCAAACTAACTCCCATGCTACTTTTGAAATAAATCCTGCATCTGTTTTGGCAAACGGTTTCCACAGGAATCTAGCTGTTGCGCGCCTTACTGTTTTCACCAGCTGTTTTCCTAATGCTCTTATAGTACCAACGAACCACAGTAAGGCAAACAGTGCCACATTGGTTACTAGAGCTCGACCAAACAATAAAAGGTGTTTAGTCGGGCCACAGATGGCGAGCCTTTGGATGACCTTCTGCTGTAGCAAATCGTTTTGAGCGTCTGCGCATCTTCCTAACGTAACCTGCACTCCCAGGTATCTTTCTGAGTTCCCACTGACAACCCTCTTCATTCCCCATTCAACCACAAGGTTGTATCCCTCAGGCAGCAGGTAAATGGACTTTGTCCAGTTTACTGCGGCCTCCGATAGTACTGAGTAGTCTGACAAACAGGATTTGAGTGCCCCCAGCGAACTCTGAGTGTTCTCCGAGATTGCCATCAGATCGTCTGCGAGGGCTTTCACTCGACAGTCCACATGTTGCACCGGTAGACCCTCGATACTAGGATGGGATCTGACGTTCGAGATTAGCACTTCCAATTGTAGGACAAATAGTAAGGGGGTCAGCGGGCACCCCTGCCTTAGGGACCTGGTCAAGGAGAACGGGGCCGAAATGTGGCCGTTCACCGAGACTGATGCTGTGGAAAAGGCGTACAATACCATCACCCATCTGCAAAAATTTGAACCAAACTGAAGTACATTCAGC